GACAAATCACTACTGGATTCAAAGTAAGCACTTGGATATTTTTTCTTTTAGTTGAAAACTATACTTCTTCAAAAGGTACAGCTAATTTTGTTTCCTGGTTTGTTAGATTGAATTTTGTCTTCTTTAATGTATTCTAGGTTCCCTATAAGATTCTAAAGATACTTGTATACTTTCCCATAGGCTCTTTTATAAATATTTCTATGTTCTTATATACATCTTCTACCTGATTTTAAATGTCTACACATCCTCTCTGCCCTATTCTCCCTCTTATATCTGGCCAGAACTCCTACAGGTTTATCTCAGGTCTTGAATCTTCTGGCTCTGTGAGTGATGTATTAGTTTCCTATTGCTGCTGTAACAAATTACTACAAACATTGTGGCTTAAAATAGCACTTATTTACTATTTTATAATTCTGAAGGTCTGAAATGGGTGACACTAGACTAAAATCAAGATGTCCTTACTTCTGTGGTCCCTTTAGAGACTCTAATGATGAATGTGTTTCTTTGCCTTTTCCATCTTCTGGAGATGGCAGTCAGGGCCCATAGCCTGCCATTATATCACTCTCTTCTCTGCTTTTCTGACTCTCTTGCCTCTCTCTTTCACTTGTATGGTCTCTTGCCCTTGAATTGGTCCACCCAATTAATCCAGAATATAATCTCCTCATCTCAGCACCCTCAATTTAATCACACCCCTGGGTCTTTTTCCATGAAAGGTAACATACTCACACGTTCAGAGAATTCATAAGGAAAACTTGGGGATGCCATTTGCAACTCTTGGGAGGAAATACGTTCCTAGCCTGGGGAAAATAACCCTTGAAGCTGAAATCAATCAAAGGGAGAAATAAAGTGGGAGAAACCTGTTTATTGCCCACAAGCAGTTGACTATTTCTGCTTGCCTGTGTCTCTAGTCACCTGTTTGCAAAAGGGCCCCATCAAACTTCTCCAGTCCCAGTGCCTACTCACTCTTCATCACCTGTGTAATCACCTATTGATATGGATATGAACTACTTCTATCCACTTCTTGGAAACACCTATTGATAGGGAGATGCACTGAGGTCAGGCAAGCAATTCAGGAAATACTGCAATTTTACCCACAGCCCACCCCTCCAGAAATCTCGCCTCATAATCTACTTGCTCCCCATCTTCTGCAATGGCCTCTGTGTGAGAAAACTGGAGCACTGTAACTAGACGAATAACATAACAACAGCAATAAAAATCATGATAATGCTCAAGCTGGAGGATTCAGCTAATTTCAAAGTCCAATGCAGATTAACTCCATAGCTCACCCATTCCATAGGAGGCCAATAGCTGAACAGTCGGGAGTTCACTGCACTCATCATGCAGCAGGTGCTGCCCGGGGGCAGGTCCAGGCCACAGTGACTGTAGAAGAATAACTTTAAGGGTGACAGGATATATGTTTTAATGACACCAGCATGTGTCTTAAATCTTGCCCATCAGGTAGGATACATGCAAGAGAGTGGTCCTCTGATAGAATGGTAGCAGGAATGGAATCTCATCCTGGTCTAGTATACCAGACTTTCACCCCCCTCCCTGTGGGAGTTACAGATGGGTCAGTATACAGGGCTATGGGAGGTACATGCACTGGCCATAAAGATAAATCAAAACTTTCCCATAAAATCCTCTTATCTCCCAAATGTTTTGGGTACATTACCATGATCTTTGGGGGCCACTCTGTTGTTACTCCAGGAATACACTGGAGACTACCTTCTCGGCCTTTTCCCCAGAGTGCCAGAAGAGCCAGCCATCACTGGTCCACATGTCAAAATGTCCGAGGCCAAGTCCACTCAACAGAGTCTCCAGGGTTTAGTGCAGTTGGGGCTGGCAGCAGGATATTGCTCTGCTGACCATATCCTGGCTTCAATAACCCCTCTTTGGTTTGTACATACAATTGTGTAGGAGAGGCAGCAAGGCATGTTAGTATATCCACAGGGCTCAAGGCTCCTTTTCAGGCCTTCACATTCAAGTGCCATAGCACTGTCTGTAAATGAACTGACCAGCCCTGTAGACTATTGGTGTCTGACTTCAGGCCAGATTTCAACAAACTGTTATACCTGTCTATCATGCCTGACCCGGTAGGGTTATATGGTACATGAAACTTCCACTTTATTCCTGATTGCTGCACCCATTCTTGTAACAATGTCCAGTAGAGTTGGTGCCTTGATCACTCTCAGATGCCTACGGCCAGCCATAGTCTGCAAAGGGATGCTCTAGGCCCTTTTTGGTTGTTTGATGATCTGCACGACATTCAGGAAAAGCAACTGGTAGTTGAGCTGCCATGTCCACACAAGTCCTGGCATACTGATATCCTTCTGATACAGGCAAAGGCCCAATATAGTCTCTCTACCACCTGACAAGGTATTTGGTCCCTTTACTATTGTCCTGTGTTGCTGTGGGACTTGGTGTAAGTCCCTCTTAGAGCACACAAGGCGCTCCTTCTGGGCTCTGCTGACTTCTTCAGAGGTCAGTGGTGAGCCCTACTGACGGGCTACAGACCCCATTGTCTGCTGCCCTGCATGCAGCAAACACTGATGTAACCATTGGGCTGTATCAGAGGCAGGCTTTCCTTTTAGCCAATGCACCTGGGCCAGTGTGTCTGCTTCATCATTCCCTGGGGATACCAAAGGCAAATGGCCAGTCACACAATATACGGTAACTGTCTTAGTCTGACCAGAGGCCCATAGTTCTTGCCACAACTCTTGCCCTCAAATGGGCTGGTGACCAACCATCCAGTTGGCATGGTACAATGTTGGTAGCCACAGGGTCAAGCCCTGATAGACAGCCCAGCTGTCAGTGCATACAACTATAGGAGAGGGCTCCTGGGTGATTACAAGCTATACTGCCTACAACTCAGCCCCTTGGCTGCTCTTCTGCTCTCCGTCCCCCATCCATACTGTCTCAATCTTAAGATGAAAGCCACAGCCCTCCACTTTGGGGCCTGCCCACAACTGGAGCCATCTGTATACCAAGCATCTTCAGGTATAGGGGATTTTCCCCCTATAAATAGGACTCTTGGCTACCACTGGGTCTTCCTTCTTTCCATCAGTATACATCGCTGGCTCCAATAAGCGTTGGAGTTCTCCACTAAGGGGCTAGTAGAGATGATGCTACGCTGCTGTTAAGTATGTGCCCCATTTGGCCAGTATAGGCATCTGCCATGCCACTCCATGTCCTTTGGGTCCAGTCTCGCAGCCACCCTGCGATTGATAGGTGGTTATTACCTTGGTTGGAACTGTTCCAGTTATGGGCTCCATAGCTGACAAGGCGTGGTACATGGCAGCCAGTTGCTTCTTTATAAAGGTGTACCGGACCTCCTTTCCATAGTTGTGACCAGAATCCACTAGGTTGCACTGTTCAAGCCACTGCCAAAGGCCCAGTCCATAACCACCTTCATTTACATGAACGTCTAGCTCACAGGGCCTTGATGAGTCCATTAGACTCAAGGCCTGTACAGCCTTGATTGCTTGCTTAGCAGCCATAGAGCAGCTGCCCATGTTTCGTCCCCAACCAGTATAAGGGCTTCAGAATTGGTGCCAAGTGTGAGATAAACAGTCTCAGTAGCCCAAAAGACCCAAAAACTCTTGTAATACTGCCACAGTGAGAGGGATAAGGAAAGCCTGGACATTGTCACCCAGGAAGTCAGATTTCGGGTTTAGAGGTCCTGCTGACTACTGCCAGGTGTAACTCCGTGGGAAAATATGTTCCCAGCCCAGGGCAAATAATGTTTGAAACCAAATCAGTCAACAGAAGAAATAAAGTGGGAGGAACCCGTTTATTGCCTACAAGCAGTTGTCCACTCCTGCTCGCCTGTGTCTCTAATGACCCTGTTGCAGAAGAACCCCATTGCACCTCTCCAGTCCCAGTGTGCTCTCACTCCCCACCCACCTTGTAATCACCTATTGATAGGGAGATGGACTACTTCTCTCCACCCCTTGGAAACACCTGTTGATACGGAGATCCACTAAGACAGGCGACAGATTCTGGAAATATTGCAGTTTTACTCACACCATTATTCTGCTTTCAACAAGTGATAACAACAAGCTTTCCAAGAGTACCTTCCAGCCTTATTTTTTTTGTAGGGCTGATTCTTCAGGATCCTCCAGTTAATACAGTTCTTTCTACTGTATTCTCACTGAATATTTATTATTTTACACTGAATCCTTCCTAAAGCAATGACTGAATTACAAATTGTCATTTCTGAAGTCCATTCTCTTGAATTCTCTTAAAATCATTTGTTTTAATGAGAAATGAAAAAGATTTAGGGCTGCATCATAAACTCATATTCTGCAAGGGCCATGCAGATAATATAAATCAATCAAACAATCTGTGTGAAAGACAATGAGACTATAGTTGACTGGCTAGTATACAGCTATCCTAAAGGCATTTAAGACAAATATTTCTAAAAGGCTTTTAACCAAACTAAACAAGGCTGCAGGCTACAAGTATATAGACTTCTGATTTAGGTAATAGTTAGATAATTATAGTATATATGATCTTCATCTACATTTCAGAAAACCCATGTTCGGTGTCTTGAAGTTTTTTCCCACAGTCATGTACTTAACTACCCATGAAACACATCATACTAGTTTTTAAAAGTTACTTTGTGTGTGTGTGTGTGTGTGTGTGTGTGTGTGTGTGTATCTGTTTCCCAGGTAACCTAACCTGTGATAATTGATAAGGAGTTCACTCTCTAGTTAGCTAGAAAGATAAGTCCAGTGATTAAGAGATATGATAATGGATTGTAATAAAGTTATGAAAACATATGAAGGAGCAATCAATTTTATCTTAGGTTAGGAATTTTGAGAAGTGCTCAGCTATTGCTTGTTAGGGGTGGATGATACTTGAACTGAGCTTTGAAGAATTAATTCTTCAGGAGAATCAGCATTTGGTCTTACTTTACTTACTCTTCTATTGAAATGTCACTTAGTTGGAAAAAAAGATTCTTATTTCATTTTATCTTCATGATTCCTTTTTCTCCAGATTTTGTCCACAAGTGCTTATGGAAAAGATGGCTGATATTAACCTCAAAGAAGTATCCTTAATAGTAGGTGTGGTTACTGCCTGCTACTGGAACAGCCTCTTGTGTGGTTTTGTTTTTGATGATGTTTCAGCAATACTGGACAATAAAGACTTGCATCCATCTACACCTTTGAAAACTTTATTTCAGAATGACTTCTGGGGAACTCCTATGTCTGAGGTAAGTAATTATTATTGTATGTATTTCAGATTTTTTAAATATTCTGGTAGTTTTTACTGCTAATTCTTTTTTTCCTCAACAGTGTCATCATAGCAATTGCAGATTTTTTTCCCACAAAATTTTACATGAAACATTAGATGTTTGTAATAAATTAAAAAGTTGAAAATATGATTATTTTCTTTAAAGCAGTACTTGATTCATTTCTTGGTTGTGTACTTTGGTTTAATCTTTTTTAAAGTAGCGTATGTATGTGAAAACCAAATGTGTTAGGGTAGCAATAGATGTAATACAAGTCTATTTCTTACTTCTTTTTTCTCATTTGTGAGTCAGGCAAAAAATGATGACTTGTGGTATATTTAGCCATTTAAAAATAATAGTAACTTCAGTATACTCAGTATACATAGATTAGATTTTAAGGATAAAAATCTCAAGTACACATATTGCCAATTTTTCTGCAGGAAAAAAGTGATTTATTAAATTGTTTAAATTTGTATCCTATATTTCTTACCTAATGTTTATTTTGATTTTATATTGAGAGCTCAAAAAAATTTAGTTCATTTTTATGAGGCTGTTTCTACTTTTTCATAACTTTATTTTGAAGGTCGTATTAAACTGTTTGGGATTAAACCCTGTCAGCTTGGGATCACATAGATTGGGTTCTAATTTTAGTTTTAATAATAGCTGTGTGAAATAGGTGGGAATACAGGTTTCTAATGACAAGTCATTTTCATGATCTATAATAGAATAATACCTTGTAGGTAAATAAACAAATTATTTAGTCTGTAGTACCTGGCACATAATTGTTGAAATGTAACATATAGCATTCTTTTATATTTTTTCAGTTATTATTCATGGCCCCTTTCTGATATCTCCAGATTTGGAAGCTTCTCAAGAGTGAGGATAGGGTCTGTCTTCTTCTAGTCACAAGCACGTGATAATTTTTTTTTAATAAACAGACTATTTTCCTTCAACCTTCCTGTTCTCAACCAATTTTAGCCTTTAAAATAAATCTGTTGATAAGGTAAAAATATGTCCTATTATACATTATTTTCTAGAGAATTTTTCCCCCTCTACACCTACTCTTTTTCCCCAGAGATCCTTAGAAACACTTGCCCATTTCCCCCAATTTATGGGAGTATCTGCTGTGATTTTATTCATGACATTGAGATTTTGACCTGAAAGGTTAGCTGGCCAGATTAAAGGGCTCATTAAAGTTTTCATACCAAGGTGTCAAGGCTATGCTTTGTGTTTTCTCAGCTTTGCAGATTGAAAATTTGATTTTGTTCAGAGAACCTGTAAGTGGACAACTAAGAGTAAGTCTCATAATAACTCAGATGGAATGGATGAACAAATTAGAATTGCAATTTATAGTGAAGAGTGTCATGTCCTTCTATTTTCTGATGGGCATATTCTCTCCCTGGAGGGAAATGTGCCACTAAGGAAAAGTTATTATAAGTAGTATTTGGGTGTCCCTAAGGTTTCTTGACAAACTTGGAATTAGCACATTTAAAGTGCTCAGGGTTAATGTCAAGCAATGATAGCCTTGAAGTCTGTGTGTAGGTGCCCAGACCTTTGTAAGCATTTTTGTGCCAGAGGAAATCTTAAAGGCACGGTTTTGGGTTAGGACACTCTCCTGAGCTATATGAATACACCATATTAAGGGTCTTTGGATTCCTCTGGGCCTCTCAGTGTTTAGATTATCTCCTTAGTAAGCCCATTCTTTAAATATGTAGTCCTCTGATTATTGATGCTTCAGTGTATTCTAATTCTGTACATTAGAATCTGCCTGGGACTCTTAAAATATATTACCAAGACTCTACCAAACCTGTTAATTACAGTTATCTCAGAGTTGGATATGGGTGTCAGTATTTTTATATTGTTTTGTTTGTGTGTGTTTGCTTTTCTGTTGTTTTTTGTGGGACTTTTGTAGGGGAGGGCTGTGCAAAAGGGTTTTTTTTTTAAGTTAGCTAGGTATTTTTTTCATGTAGCCATAGTTGAAAATCAATCACTGATATGTAATAAACCACACTCTTCTAGCATTTGGCCTATGAAAGTATTAAGATATTAGAGTAACTTCTGCAAATATCCTGTCTCACTATGTTTATGCCATGTCTACATGGGTATTCACATTAACCATTAACAGGGAACTGTTAGCTTATTCATTCATTATATTCATGCTTACCTATCTAGTGCCACCTAATACTATGAGTCATTAAGTTTTTCTTAAATATACCTGAACAGAGTAATGATCTAAATTGTTTTGTTCATAATGGGACTGGTTGTTTCACTATATTTTCACAGAGTAAACCTGATATCTGCTAAGATGATTATTGTCATGTTGTAGTCTTAGGTTACTAATGAGTTATGTGAATAATAAGTTTTGTTAATAATTAATCTATCTTACAGTTTGCCATTACTTATGGCTATATACATCAAACAGACAAAGCAATTATGTATGTAATTAAAAATACCTGTTTCCTATATTTTTTGACTTCATCCTTTTAACTGGCAAATATGTACCAGTGGAGCCCCAGTAACATTTCAAGCACTCACAAAGTTTTTAGAATCTCTTTTACCTTCTAATATAAATCATGCAAGTTTGATATAGTGTCTTAAAAACAATATTGTATTCCTGAGTTGAAATTTGAAGGATGTACAGGAATTAAACAGGGAAGAATATTCTAGGTAGATGGTGTGTATGGTCAGTATAGAAATATTAAAATGTTCCTAATTTCAAATTGGGACATTTATTTTTTGTGCTTCCTGATGTTCCCTAGTAAGGATGAATAGGCTTAAATCTGTACCTGTATACCAGGGTTACAGAAAAACGTGGTAAAAGGTAGGAGACCACGAGAAGCTGGATGTGAGTGCCCTTAACTAAAATTACAAAAAATTACCAGGATAATATTTTATATACTTTTGACCTGTGTGTTTTTTTGTTAGGGTAAGTATTTTTGTCTTAGGGTAAAAATATTTCTGGTTAAATTTAACTTCTAATTTGTAAAAAAATGCAGTTCTTCACATAAAATTTTATCTATCTACAATAGAGACTATTGTAACTGCTATCTATTCTCTTATTCTAAGAAAGTTTTTGCTCTTGTATCACCCTGGAATATTTGGGGGTGTTTTGGTTTAATGTACTTAGATTTATACATTATGGAGGTATTTTTCATAAAACAGCTAGACAGTACCTTTTTGAGTCACCACTATTTAAATTGCACTGGTAAGCATCCCAATCTTACCTTTCCTTTTGAAGATCTAGCCAGAAGTTACATAAATGCTTGCATTGGTAATAGATTGGGAAGTCAGCTTTGGGGAGAATCCTGTTCTTCAGTTTGATCAATGCCACTATTGTCCTACTCTTTCTAAAAAAAAATCCGTGTATTGAAGAAGAACTAATAGATTTTCTTCCTCTACTTGTTAATTCTCTCACCACTCTGTATCAGAGAAGAAATGCCTTGTGTTTGGACTAAGGAAATAGGAAAATATAGATTATAAAGCTATCTTTTATGTTTGTGTTATTCTTGGGTCAATTTATTATTTTATTGTTATTTCTCAGCCAAATGTAGATACTTTCATTAGTAAATGCAGTGATTAATTTATGTACCCCAAAGGGCCAAAGTTTAATAATTGATGATTGTTTCTTTTCCTTTTAGGAGATAAGCCACAAATCTTACCGACCCTTAACAGTATTGACCTTTCGTTTAAATTATTTGTTTAGTGAACTGAAACCAATGTCATATCATCTCCTAAATATGGTTTTTCATGCTGTGGTTAATGTGATATTTCTTTAAGTCTGCAAACTTTTTCTGGACCACAAGAGCAGTGTGATTGCTGCTTTACTTTTTGCAGTGCACCCAGTACCCACAGAGGCAGTAAGTATAAGTGTAAATTGATGTTTTCTTCATTATTAATTTTTTTAACAAAGCCTACATGTTGATTATAATGCTATGTATTTTTAAGAAAAAAAAAAGTTTATCCATGACTTTAATCCAGATATTTGAAGACTCTTAAGTTAGTACAAAAGTCTTAGCTTCCTAGTACACAGTGTAACTTCCTACTACATATTTAAATTTAAAACAAATTTGGAAACAAACATATTTAAGAACATAGGTGTAATCAGTCAACTTTAGTAATATAAAATATTAATGAATACAGATTTTTACTTTGCTAATTTTTTTTATACTTAAATACTAAGTATTTAAGAACTTGGCACATGGTTTCAAAGGACAAAATAATAAGGCAAAGTTAGTGTATGAAATACACAAGATAAACAAATGTTCTAATAAATGATGATACTTAGTAGTTTCATATTGCCTATTACTATGTGTTTCAAAAATGTGAGCTGTTATTGCCAGTAGTTAGCCCCCACCTAGGAAGATGTACTCGAACTATAACTTTATTGTTCTTGGAAATCTTGAAGCCCCAAAATTGCCTGTCAGCAGAGCAAAGAGGACTCTGTTCAATTGCTTTGTTACAAGCTTTCAGTTGTAAGCAAAAGTGTATTATGTCTAAACTCTGTTACTATGTGCATGTTTGTGTGGGGGACAGGGAAGCAGTGGGAGAAGGGTTGTCTGTCTCTCCTAGTGTCTTGAACCTTTTGATGTCCAACTGAACAGACATTTTTTCCATACATTTACAAAAATGACAGGTGGTTTGAAATTTTACAGTGACTTCAGAATACTCTAAGGCAGGTGTTGGGGATTCTATATTTCAATATTTAGGATTTAAAAGGGCTTTTTAAAGTTTATTAATAGTCTTTTTAAACCTTAATTTGCAGGTTTCTTATGAGATACAATTAACTGAATCTTATACCCTTGTATTATAAGAACACTTATCTTTTAAGAAAATATGTAAGAAGGACTTAGTTTTTTTTTTTTAAGAAGTACTCTAGATATTGTATTTCAGTTATTTAAGATGTTACCATTTGGGGGAACTGAGTAAAGGGTACACAGGACCTCTCTAACATTTTTGCAATTTGCTGTGAGTCTGTATTTCAAAATAATAATAATAAAAGAACTGTTAGAAAAAGATACTGTTTTTATGGAAGAGGCACAAATTCACCACATGAGGGCGCTCAAAGAATGTACAAAAAACAGGCATTTGAAAGGATAATTTCTAGTTAAAATTCAGCTACTATTATATATGGTTAAGTTTTCAAGATGCTCTTTATTAATATGAACCTGTGTCCCTTTTTCTTTTCTAGGTAACAGGTGTTGTAGTAAGAGCAGAACTTCTGTCGTCTATTTTTTTTCTAGCTGCATTTTTGTCATATACCAAATCAAAAGGACAAGATAATTCCATAGGTAAATGTCTGACATTTAATTCCTATAGCTATAAACCTTGATCAAGTAATTTTTATTATTCCAAGCACTTCTTATAAAACATACACACGGGATTTATCTTTATATATTATATTATTTCAGCTTGTACGGACATATGAAAGTATGCAACGTTGTTAATATTAAAAGTGTTTGTGTATAGTTTATATTTTATTATGACAGATTCTGTATGATTTCATTTAAAAAATTGCCCTAGGATATAGGAGTTTTAGGGTCATTTTTAGTTTCATCTGATATTACCTATAAATGATACAATTACCAGTACTTCTGTTGTCTTTCTATAAATAGCACCTGTAAAGGCTGTAAATTGTATTGTTCAGGCAAAGTTACAAGCCTGTTAGCATATAACTTTTATTATGTATAGATCACATAGGTCAGCTATGTTTTGAGTCCCTACTGTGTAGCCTACCCTGGAAAGCACTTTGTATACAATAGCTCATTAGTCCTAATGATGCATTAAGCATTGTCAGAAAACAAGTTCCAGGAAATAAAAATGACTTTTTAAGAGTGTAGACATAATGGGCATGAAAGGAGCTTCACATAATGGCCTAAACTTGTATTTGCTTGAACTTAAAATTTAACTTGAGTTTTTTTTCCTACATTCTTGGAGAATTTTCACACTAGAGACTCAAAGTAGTGATTATAAGGAGCTTACTATTGTATGTCTGGAAACTAAAGTTCAAGAAATAAGTGACTTAGCCAAACAGCTTTAGTACCTTTTTTGCTTTCTCTGCCTTAGAGTGGACTTGCAAATTAGTCGAAAGTTCTGAATTTAATATCAGAAGAACCAAGTTAAACTTCTAGTCTCCCTATTATGCATGACTTCTTTTAAACTTCCAAAATTCTTTCCTTATCTTAAAAAATGGGTATGACTTATATCTGCCCTCTTATCCCATAGAGTGATTTTGAGACTCAGTGCAGTAATATATGCTATGCTGGTTATATAAACTGTTTAATATAGTTTTAAAATTTCCTTTTTTAAGGATATTTTTTCCACTAATTTTTAATATCTGAGTACCCATCTAGTCATACTATTCTGTATATCATTCACTTGCCAAGCTTATTTCCTTCTCTGCTCTTTTATTCATATATACCCCTTTCCCAATTTTTTCATGTCCTATATATCTTTCAAGGTCCAACTTTAGGTTCAGCTTGTTTTGTAAAGAATCATCTTCTGACTTCTTTCCTCCATGAATTTCTTGGAGGAAAGAAATTACATTTCCTTTCTTTATTACATTAGTATTGATGGTTTTGGCTTAGCTAGAAGGTAAGATATTTTTTGAGGAAGAAATACTATTATACTTAGCATCCCCAGCAGTGTTTTGGGGCTTTTTGAGTTATTTTTCCTTTCAGTAATTTTAGTGTATAAAGTACTTTAAAACTGAAAAGAATTTCAAAAATGCTTGAATATAATAGCCCAATGAAAGAAGAAAATGGATTCATGGATTGTGTTCTTATTTACATATAAACATAAGCCAGTTACTGAGTTTTTGTTTTGACTAATGGTCTTAGTAAAAACTGTGGTCACACAGTCATACTACCATATATATTCTAAACTGGAAAAGAATTGGAGTTCATGTTTTCCCAGTAGGAAAACTGAAGCTCATAAGAGTCTTCCAAAGTCACAAAGCAAGTTAGAGTAGATCCAAAATTACTGTAACAATTCATTTTTCTTATAATCAAGTTATTAAAAAATAGTATACATTTACTTAAAGTTGATGAAGGAAGCTTTCCATTTAAATAGAACTTGTGACTAGTTTGTTGGGAATTTTTAAAGAACAGTATTGGCTTAAATGCTTATTGTTAACTTGTTTCAATTTTCATAGTTCTCTGAAAATTAGAAGGGCACTGTTTTGCCAAAACTAATTTGTAGTTTTCAGTTTCAAGTTTTTAATAAACTGCAGATATAATAAAATATATAGCTACCGGTGTGATATTCTCATGTATTTTCTTCATTTCAAATTGAAAGTTCATCTTTTAATCACAGTACTCAAGCCTTTAAGTTTCTCCTTTCCAAGTTGGCCACTATATCTTTGTTTTATAAGTTTGTATTTGGTTAAATAATTTTCCTTCCCACAAAAATTTTTCTAGTTCAAATTATACATCTTGATGTTTTATTTTGAATATATGGAGCAAAAGTTACATTTAAATACAATTAAAATATAAAGTATAGGTCAATGGGAAATAACGCAAATGTGGGTATATAATCACAAGTAAAGTTTCTCAGTGATATCTAATAGTTGTCTAATTTAAAATATCCTTTTATGGTATTATAAAATTGTTTTGTATAGTTTTATATTTTTCTGTTCTTAATTGCAGTGTGGACTCCAATTGTGTTGACAGTGTTTTTAGTGGCTGTTGCAACATTGTGTAAAGAACAAGGTATTGTTGTGGGAATTTGCTGTGTGTACGAAGTATTTATTGTCCAAGGGGTAAGGAGAAATATAAATTGTCTTGTTGCTATTTTTTTATCCTGTTTGAATCATACTATAATAAACTTATATTCTAAATGTATCATTATATAAGTCAGTTTACCAATAATGATTCCAAAAATTTTCAAGAAATAAACATGTTTTGTCCTCATGCCGCTGAAAAGTAAAATAACACCTTCAGTTTTTTAAGAACTACTTTTTCAGTTTCAGTAATGGAATCATTAGGCAATTTGGAAAAATACCCTGTAATACTGTTCAGTATTAATACATAATTTTATATTATTGGGCACAGTTTTATTCATTATCAGTTCCACAGGTTGTTCCATATTGATTTTATAGTTACAGTCATTTTGTATCTAATCTTGTATTTAGGAAGTACTCCATTTTTTAAAACATTGTAGTATATTATTACTGTTGTTTAAAACTATTTTTTTGTTTTCCAGTACACTTTGCCATTACTGTGTACCACTGCTGGGCAGTTTCTCCATGGAAAGGGTAGTATTCCATTTTCTATGCTGCAGACACTAATAAAACTCATTGTTTTGATGTTCAGTACACTATTGCTTGTTGTAATTCGAGTGCAGGTGATTCAGTCTCAACTTCCAGTATTCACCAGATATGAAATTTTGTTTCTTCTTTGATTTTTTTTTCATCCTTTTTTTAAACTTTAAGTTTTAAGTGATTTTAAATATTCCAGAAAGTCTTTGATTTACATTGAGGTTCCTTAACAGCTCTGTTGAGGTATAATTATTTTTTTTAATCTGCATATTATTTAAAATGTACAAATAAATAAGTTTTGACATATATGTACCACTCATGAAACCACCACAATATGTTGTCTTCTATATTCTTAGTAATTTTTGTCTACTTTTCCTATTAATTTTTAAAAGAAGGATATTGAAATCTCTAACTAGATTTGTAGATTTGTCTGTTTCTTCTTGCAGCTCTGAGTTTTTGTTTGCTTTATTAAGTGCATAAACATTTAGAACTGTAATGTCCTTTTGATGAATTCATCCTTTCATCCTTATTAAAAGAATCTCTTTATCCCTGGAAATAGTTTTTGCTCAGAAATTCACTTCATCGTACATTAATATAGCCACACCAGCTATCTTTTTCCAACCTTTTGTCTCTTTTTATATTTAAACTGGATTTCTTGTAGGCCTACATACACTGGGATCTTCTTTTTTTTTTTTTTTTGGTCGGAAAAATCTTTGAATGAGGTTTTTCAACTATTTACATTTAATATGATTATTGATATAGTTTGATGTAAATCTGCCATCCTGCCAATTGTTTTCTCTTTGTCCCATCTGTTGTTTGTCCCTTTTTCTGTCTTTTGGACTCAGTATGTCTTACTATTCTATTTTTATCTCCTTGTTGGCTTATTAGCTATAAATCTGCTGTGTTGTTTCAGTGACTGTTCTAGGGTTTTTCAAATCATCCTTTGCTATCACAGTTTATTTTCAAGGGATATTTTAAGTATATATATCATAAATGTTAATATGTATAGTATAAACATATGTAATACATAGGTTTTTATAAAATATAAATATATAAACTTATAAGAACTTAGCTTTTGTGGTTGCATACATTTTCCTTGAGTATACACTGTAAATTCCACAATACATAATTGTATTTTTTGTATTAAACAATTATCTTTGAAAGAAATTTAATAAAATATCCTTTATATTAATCCAGAGTTCTGATTTCTAGTGTTCTTCATTTCTTTGTTAGGTTAGGATTTTCATCTGGTACTACTTTTCCTTACGACTGAAGGACTTTTCCTTAACACTTCTTGACATGTAGGTATGCTGGTGATGAATTCTTTTAGCTTTTGTACATGAAAATATTTTTACTTTGCCTTTGATTTTGAGAAGTATGTTCCTGAGTGCAGAATTCTACACTGACTGTTTTTCATTCAGTACTGTATAAATGTTGCTCTCCTATTTTCTGGCTTGCATTATTTTCAATGGAAAATCTTCTGTGATCCTTATCTTTATGTTTCTGTGGATAATGTCTTTTTCCTATGTCTGCTTTTAACATTTTCTCTTTATCATTGTTTTTATTTTTTTATATTGGAACATAATTGACAGATAACATTGTATTAGTTGGTATAAAGTGTAATGATTTGATATATGTATATTGAGAAATGATTACCACAGTAACTGTACTTGACATCCATAAACACATATAGTTAAAATATTTTCAGGTATGATGGGAACTTTTAAGATCTAATCTCTTAGCAACTTCCAAATATCCAATACAGTATTGTAAACTATAATCACCATGCTGTATATTATATCCCCAAGACTCGTAACTGGAAGTTTGGTTAAGGGTGGTCAAGTTACAAACTTCCACTGTTTCTTCTATTTTCATGTTTTTTGTGCTTATGTTAATTGAGTTTCTTAGAATTCTGTAGGTTTTATTTTATATAGATTCTGGAAAATTTTCAGCTGTTCTTGGAAATATTTTTCAAATTCTTTTCTCTCCCTGCTTCTTAAGGGACTCCAATTACATGGATATTAGGTTTCTTGAAGTTATTACACTGATGTTCTGTTTATTACTCTCCCAAAACTATTTTCACCCCATTTACATTTTGGATACTTTTTTTGCTACTGTTTTCAAGTTCACCAATCTTTTTTCTGCAATATCTAATGTGTCCTTAAATTCTTCTAGTTATTTTTCATCTCAGACATTGTTTTCATCTCTAGAAGTTCTGTATGAGCCTTTTTTTTGTGTTCCATGTCCATACATGTTCTAGGGCTTTAATGTCCTTGTCTATTAATTTTATCATTTGTGTCATTTCTTTTCAGTTTAGATAGAATAATTTTTCTTCTCATAGTGGTATTTTCTTTTTCACATGCCGGGTGATTTTTTAATAGATGCCATATGTGAATTTTACCTTAAAATATTTTAAAACCTTGTTCTGTGATGCTTTTAAGTTACTTGAAAAATATTTCCTATTCTTATCTTGCTTTTAAGCTTTGTTTTTTGAGCCCAGCAGCATTTAGGATAGGGCTAATTTTGCTGCACTACTGATACAACTGTCTGACTGCTCTACCTGGTAGACTATGAATTATGAGGACATCCATTTTGGTTAATGAGGAACTGCTAATAATCCCAACTGTGTTTGCTACTTGGGAATTTTTATCTAATCCTTTTGAGAGATACTTTCCTAACTGTATCAGGTTTCCTAGGGCTGCTAAAACAAATTACCAGAAACTGGGTGTCTTAAAGTAGCAGAAATTTATTCTGTCACAGTGCTCAAGGCCAGAAGTCCAAAGCCAAGGTGTCAGGCACAGTTGGTTCCTTCTGAAGGCTCTTCCTTCTGGAGGTTCCATGCCTCTTTCCTAGCATCTGGTGGTTCCCACAATCTTTGGCAGCTTCATCATTCCAATCGCTCCATCTTTAACTGGCCTTCTTCCTTGTGTGTTTTCCTTTATTCTCGCCTCTTTGTATAAGGACACCAGTTATTAGATTTAGGTCCTATTAGTTCAGTATGACCTCATCTTAAATAATTTCACTAACAAAGACCCTATTTCCAAATTAGGTTTCATTTTGAGGTTCTGGGTAGACAAGAATTTTTGGGAGATGTGATTCAACCCACCGTACTGACCTTGGGTCTATCCTCACATGTACACGTTACCCGTTCTTACAGGACGGGGAACTGGAGAGAGACCCTGTACAGATCTCCTGCGTTCTCTTTTTCAACAGCTTCCTTCTCTCTGGTATTCCGCCCACAAACTCCAGCTCCCTGGGTTCCTAGGGCTCCCAGCTCCATCTTCTCAACTCAGGGTTACCACGAGGCTCTGCCAGGGTTCCTGCTCACAGCTCTGTAGACTAAAAAACTATTCAGGTACTAAACTCTTCAGTCTGGGCTCCCTTATTTGTTTTTCTTCTTTCAGGTATCACTGACCGTTTTGCCTGATGCTCAGTGTGTTAAAAAAAAGTTTATGTAACTTCTCCAGTTTTTTAGTTGTTTAAAGCCAAAAGCAAGTTATACTGAATTTTAACAATCTCTATGCATTTAGCATTGTTTTTGCGTTTCATCTTCTCACTAAAATTTAAAATGGAATTTACACTAGTTCCCTATTCAGTTTTATTTAAGTGACTAACGTTTCATGTAAGATTTGCTTTGCTTTGACATGTGCTTTTTCTCTGCAGTTCAGTTATTAAATCAGTTCTCCTATATATCCTAAATAGCTGAAGAGTGATTACAGGAAAAAAGAAAACTTTGAATTCAGTTCTCTTGGTTATTTTGAAAATTGACGCCCTGACTCTCAAGACTCAACTATTTTTCATATATGTAGATATTCAAATGTGAAAGTTTTTAAAGATACTACTTATTCAAATAGTATTCACTTTCTCTCAGTGATTTGATTAAAAGAAGACTGAGTCAAATAAGTGGTAGAGGATAGTTTTTCAATGACCTAGTCATTTTTAAAGTGAGAAATTGGGTTCTTAAAGGACTATACACTAATATAGCCAGTAGAATTTAGAACATAGCCTAAAGAAGTAGAAAATTAAAGCTGTTCGTTTGAAATACTTTAAAATAAATTATTTGACTTAGTGTGTAGGAAATAGATTAAATTAATAAAATGTACGTTTAATATATGATGTCCTGGGGAAATATAAGCTAGGATATAAGCTTATATTAATATATACTAGGATAAAGTAATATAAAATGTAACATAGGCCTATACAGTTAGTAACTCTACACTGGAAATTTGGTTTTTAGTTCCCTGGAAGTCTAAGTGAAGAGGAAAAGCTCGTGGGCGATAAGAGTATTCTCCATGACAAGAGCAAAACATAATAATTTTTTTCTAGGAGACATTCTTACTATGATTTAGTGCTGAAAGAAGCATCTCATGTAGAAAAACATTGGTGAGTGTTTTCAGAAGCATTCGTACAACACATACAACAATGAGTCTTACAAAATTTTTATTACTTTTAATGAGAAACCCATAATTTAATGAAACCACTTCTGCAGTGTGTCATAAAATTTTACGGTATGCATGTCTGATTTGTTCTAATAATACACTTGAAATAAATAACCTACTTACCCTTTATCAGTTTTTCATAAATATTATTCTTTTCAATTAGACATTTCATAAGGTTAGACAGTTTGAACTCTGGCAAGAATCTGAGGTATCCATAAAAAAATGTGTCATATTTAATGAGGTTATTGTTCAGTATTTTATTTATGTTATAAATTTTGTGTTTTTAAAACTGTCTTAGTTTAAATAACTTTATTTTTCATTCTTTATACAGGTTTGACAACCCAGATGCTGTAAGCCCAACTCCTACAAGGCAGTTTTTAACTTTTAACTACCTCCTTCCTTTGAATGCTTGGCTTCTATTATATCCTTCAGAGCTCTGCTGTGATTGGACCATGGGAACAATGCCACTTACAGAGTCATTTCTAGATATTCGAAAAGTTGCCGTATTTGCTTTCTTTTGCTTTTTGGGGGCTTTGGGAGTATTTAGTCTCAGATATCCTGGTGATTCCTCCAAGACTGTTTAAATGGTAAGAAACTTTCTTATTTTTGCAGATAATACGTATAGTTGATTAATTAAGAAACTGCCTTTAATTCATCACAAGCATCTTTCTTTATTCAACATCATCCTAACTTACAAACTTATTTTAGCTTATCCTAAAATTATATATCAGAATTGGGTATGCAGGCATAATTTGACATGTATATTCAGTGTAAAATTAAAAACTGATATGAATTTCCCTAATTCTGTAGGAACTCTGAAGTGATGAAGCATCCCTTCTGGCATCATTTTCTTATATTTATTTACTTTACCCAACTAACTTACACACTTTTTGCAGAAATGGATCATGTTACATGCTTTGTTTTCTTGGTACAGAGTATTGTATAAGATGCAGCTAGAAGTATATACCTTTTCAGTTCTCATTAGCAAAATTTTCATTATTCTCTGAGCTATTTCTTACTATGTTCAGTAAATGATTATTTGTAAAGTCATTTTATTGTTTTTCTGCAACCTGTTTCTTTGTAATTTTCTCACTCTCCTGTTACTTCTAACAGCAGTTCTGTTGCCTCTTGCTTTAAATTATTGAAGACAATAATACTCTTTAACATTTTCTTGAGCATTTATAGTATGCCAGAAAGTACACTGCAAATGTATTATTTCTGGCTGTAGCCACTAGGCTTAGTTATTCATCCAGTAAAAATGTTTCATTGCTGCCTGTGTACCAGGTAGCATTTTAGGCTCTGAGGTTATGATAAAAAGAAATATAAGGTCCCCGTTTCCAGAGAATTTGCATTCTAGAGAAATTTGAAGCCAATTGCTGAGGTGTAGAGAAGATCAAAAGAATATAGGGCTTGGGGGAAAGATTATATTTACTATTGTCTTTGGAATTTTAGGTGTCTTTGAAACATTATGGAGATTTGGAATAGCACTTTGTACCTAAAGGTCAAGAAGTCTGAGCTGCACATAGAAATTTGATTGATTGGTACGGAAATAGTAATTGAAACTAGGATGTGGATAAGAAGACCTATGGAGAGGTTATAGAGCAGCCTTTCTCCCCTGAGGTTTTTGTTACTCCCTCAAGATGGTAACTAACTAGTACCATTCTAGATGGATAGAATAGAGGTTAATTCATACACATAAGGAATGCCTGAGTATAATTGGTCTTAATTCTCCCTCAGAAAATAGTTGAAGGGGGTAAATAGAGTGGAAAGAGAAGAGGCCTATAATTATATCTTGAAAAACCATGTTTAGATGATGTGTAGAGGAGAATGGACTTGAATAGGAGATAGACCACATGCATAGAAAGGTATCAAAGTATTTCAAGAAAAAATGGAATGGTTAACACTAACAAATGCCATTGAGTACAAAAGTGAGATCAGTTGGATTTGACCGTTTATAGATGGTCAAGATTGGTCAAGATGGAGAAAAATAGTCAAGATTAAAAATAATCAACTTAAATTTATTTCAGTGGTGTGATTTGATTAGGAGATGAGAAAAGGAAGATTTCTAGTGTAGATGAGTCTATAGGGTAGTTTCACTTTGCATACTTCAAAGAATGAGAGACAAGCCTGAGTTTATTGCCCACCTAAGTAAGAAAGGACTGTGCCAGTCAAGCAGTAGCTTCAAGCACAACAAACTGCCGATCTTATGTAGATGTTGGGGAAGTAAAAAGATCTGGAATTGACGGATCTTCAAATTTTGAAGCAGGTTGATGTGGGGTTAAGGGGAGATTGTTGATTTGTTGGCATTAAAAATCACTTTCATTGGAGTACTCAGTTGGCTGACTTGTAGAAGCAAGGGGATAACACTGATGGCTTTGGCTTGCATAAACATATTCATTGAGTTGAAATGTCGATTAAGTGGAGTTAAAACCAGCCACTTGTTGCCCTGACTACAAAAATCTTTTCCTTAAGGGTGTGGGAACTTGTTTTATACCCAAAGTATATAATGGATAGGTAAGGAAACTTGAAGATACATTGTCCAATGAGAATATTTTTTAGGAATACAGTTGATTAGAAAGTGGTTGAGTAAATGAAATAAGGGATGATAATACTGATATTTGTGAGGAGCAGAGGGGTATAGAGTTCAGGCTTGACCGGACTCACTTCTGTGTTACAAGAAGGAAGGAAATGAGCATGAATGTGGATGTTGGTAGGTTTAATAGCAGGGAATTGAAGGTACTCTTTAATGGCTTTGGTTTTCTCTTTATGTTTGGGCATGTGATCACCTGCTGAAAGTGACATGGGCCAAAAGTTTGAGAAAAATAGTCAAGATTAAAAATAAGGAGAGTGGAGTGAGCCTACCAAAGACCTAAGACTCTGGGCAGTCTTAAGGATCAATTTGAAGTTGGTGATCATGAATTTATAATGATATTATTAATCTATTCTGCTTTGGGACCATTTCTAAGAATGCTTTACTGCTCAAATAAATGCAAAACAGATATATTGTAGAATCATGTAGAACTCAGGTTCTGCCAAAAAAAAAAAAAATGGAGGGGTAGGTGAATTAAAGTTTTGGCCAGTACAATAAGGATTCGTACAATGTAACCTAAATAAAATATAGAGAATAGTGCCAATGAAATAAACATAGGCTTATATAAATTATATTTCATGTGTATAAAAAGGGGCAGTTGTGACCTTAGGTATAACTGTTTTAAGTATAGTTCTAAACATGTTATTTTTCTTATGATGATATTTTCTGAAGACCTCCGAAAGGGATAAGTAGTTTAGAGGAGGAGTATCTACCAAGTATACCAGGTACCATGTTAAGCACTTATTAACTAAGATGTCATATGTGTATCAACAATAAGTAAGTAGTTATTATTTAATAAGAAACAGAGTAACAAGGTTATTGAATAGTTCTCTTTATATTACATAGGAAGTAGGAAGTGAAGCATTTGTCTCCAAACTCTTTGCTCTTTCTAGTACCATTTTCCTTTTACAGAGAGTTTATACCACTGGAAGAAGGAAATTATGTTAATCATATTAACTAGACTGGCAAAAATTAATACAGAACATATTAGAACTTCTAAAATAAGTGAATCATTAGAGACAGTACTTATCCAAGAACCAGTAGATTTTTTGAGATTTTGCTTTTCTCATTGGGTAGCTTAGGCTTCAGTCAGTCCATCAAACATCTTTGAGTGAATTTAACACTTTCAATTCTTTCAATTTAAATTGCTTTACAGCAGCCGTGAATTTAATCGGGAATATGTTTTTTAAAAGAATGGCTGGTATCAAAAGGCAAGAAATAACAAGTGTTGGCAAGACTGTGGAGAAAACTATGGGTGGGAATGTAAATGGGTACACCCTCTGTGGAAAACAGTATAGAGATTCCTCAAAACTTAAAATAGAAATAATAGACAATTCAATGATTCTACTTCTGGGTATTTACCAAGGAAAGCAAAAACACTAATTTGAAAAGATATGTACACCCCTGTTTATTGCAACATTATTTACAGTAGTCAAAATATGGAAGCAACTTAAGTGTTCATTGATAGATGAATTGATAAGGAAGATGTATAACATATATATGAAGGAATATTACCTAGCCCTAAAAAAGAATGAAATCTTGCCATTTGCAACAGCATGGATGGACCTAGAGAGTATTATGCTAAGTGAAATAGATAAGTCATATGATTTCACTTATATGTGCAATCTAAAAAACAAATGAATAAACAGAACAAAAACAGAGTCGCAGATGTACAGAACAAAATGCTAGTTGCCGTGATGGAGGGGAGAGGGATGGGTGAAATAGGTGAAAAGGTTGAAGAGGTACAAACTTCCAATTATAACATAAGTCATAGGTATGAAGTACAGCATAGGAAATGTAGTCATTAATATTATAATGACTTATAGTGACAGGTGATACCAATACTTACCTATAGTTACAGATGGTGAGCATTTTGTAATATGTAACTTTTGAGTCACTGTGTTGTACACCTGAAACTAATGTAATATTGTATGTTAACTACAAAGAAAAAGAAAAGGGCTACACGTTTAAAAACATCTCTGTTTCACAGCCAGCTATTTATTTTTATCAAGTACTTCCGGGAAATGGAAAGTGAATTATATACTCTTACTATTTTATTACCTTTTTTATTAAAGGGAAAACACTTAAATCTCAGACATATAAATTGATATCATACTGAACTGTTTGATGATAGTGTTTTTTAAAATTCAGTATTTCTTCATTACAAATCATCCATTTGTGATCCATTGGGAAAGTACTCTTTTTAGTGTATATACCTCTCTGCATTTAAATTTCACTAATAAAGCGTAATAAAAAGAAGACATTCTTTCCCCCTTGAACTGTTAGGAAACTCAAATTTATGAAGGTGAAAGAACAACTTACATAAATTTATTCGGTTAGATACATAAAACAAATCAGAGTAACAAAATATGGAAGCAGATGTCCATAGAAACAGAGGTCCTAATGTCAACCAGTTTCCTTCCTTCCACAGTTATTTGTGTGCTTGTTATTGGTGTCCTACCTTTTAAATGGTTTTATAATGTGAAAACCATATGCCATCCCATTTTCAAAATGGCAAAAAGAACCTAAGCATTTTTGTGATGTTTTATTTCAGTGTGCAGTGTTAAAATTTTAGAAATTCTTATAGAATAAAAGATTATTTAAAGGGGGCTGTTTTATTTTTATTATTTTCTAAGCCTCTGTTAAATGATTGTGACCCATCAATATTATGCAAAGTAATGCTAAGGTACAGAAGCAGTATTCTGCTATCTTGTGTGAAACATGCCTTATTTTGTTTCTTCAATTTTCAATATGAAGTGGTTACTTACATTAGTAAAATTATAAAAATCAGCAAGTTGGGTATATAAAAACTGTCAATGTCTTACTTTAGGTATATATATATATTTTTTTTTTGAGAGGGCATCTCTCATATTTATTGATCAAATGGTTGTTAACAACAATAAAATTCTGTATAGGGGGGTCAATGCTCAATGCACAATCATTAATCCATCTCAAGCCTAGTTCTCGTCAGTCTCCAATCTTCTGAAGCATAACGAACAAGTTCTTACATGGTGAACGAATTCTTACATAGTGAATAAGTTCTTACATGGTGAACAGTACAAGGGCATTCATCACAGAAACTTTCGGTTTTGATCACGCATTATGAACTATAAACAATCAGGTCAAATATGAATATTCATTTGATTTTTATACTTGATTTATATGTGGATCCCACATTTCTCCCTTTATTATTATTATTATTTTTATTTTTAATAAAATGCTGAAGTGGTAGGTAGATGCAAGATAAAGGTAGAAAACATAGTTTAGTGCTGTAAGAGGGCAAATGTAGATGATCAGGTGTGTGCCTATGGACTAAGTATTAATCCAAGCTAGACAAGGGCAGCAAAACATCCACGGATGCAGAAGATTTCTCTCAAAGCAGGGGGGGTGAGGTTCTGAGCCTCACCTCTGTTGATCCCCAAATTCTCACCTGATGGCCCCCCTGCGACTGTGCCTGTCTTAGGTTGTTCCTCCCTTGAGGAATCTTACCCGTCTCTGGCTAACCAGTCATCTTCCGGGGCCATACAGGAAATGTAAAGTTGGTAAGTGAGAGAGAAGCCATATTGTTTGAAAAGGTTAGCTTTTTACTTCTTTGCAGATTTGTAGCATAATCTTTTTATGTTCTATTTTTATTTTAAGCAAGCAACCAGGAATACTTATTTTTTACTTAAATTTGGTACTTGAAGCATCAAATTATGAAAATGCCTTTTCTTCTGAACAGATTATTCCTGGTAAAAAATATGCAGCCAGAATTGCCCCTAACCACCTATCAATCTGGCCAACCTGATCCGAGCAAATGAGTCCCGACTGGAAGAAGCAGATCAGCTGTATTGACAAGCGATGAGCATGAGGCCAGACTTCAAGCAAGCTTACATTAGCAGGTATTGTAGTTCACTTTAGGCTATGATTATAGGAGCTTGAAGCTGCATCTATCTGCATAAAATTTTGACTATCTTAACCAAGTTGGTTTTCTTTTTTCTTTTAGTAGTCTTAATTGGCAACCAAGAGCATAGAAACTTAGCCTGTTTTAGACTACCAGTCAATTTAGTTGATTTAATTTGAAATTGATAAGGGAGTCCATAACTTAAAAATATTTGTTTCCTAAATCTGAATTTATATTTACATTGTAGACTTTATGTTTAATGGTATATTTTTACCTTTGAAAGTCCTAAAAAATTTGAAGTAAATACACAAAAATATAAGATTTTTGTTAGGACTAAAACACTGTTTATTGGATTATAGTTCACACCTTAATATAACTCAGATTCTAAATGAAAGAAAAGGTAGGTCTTTCTTAGTTTCATTTGCTCCTCATCACCAAATTCATTTTTACTTAAGACACCTGAAATATAACATTTTATAATAATTACTTACAATACCCAACTCTCAAGAGCTTTCTTAAGTAAATACTGAGAATTGACTGGTAATTGATGCCTTTACCACAAAGAAATTTTTCAGTTGTCAGTAAAAAAAATTTTGGCATCACATGTTAGAAATTGATATGCTTTCCCATGTAAGTGTTATCATTCATTATTATACTTGAGGAAAATTATATGTTAAACTTTGTTTTTTAACTTGGCTCAGAAACCTAATAATAGTTTATAACATTATACCTATGAGTAAAATGTATTCAGAATTTGTTAAGTTTTTGAAATAAAAATCTCTTCCTAAGTTGGAAGCTGTCTTTGTTTCTCCTTACCAAGCAATTGTTGAAACTTGCTAAATTTAGTGGGATTACATTTATAAATAAAACCTGTCATTTTAACCTATAAAGAATTATTCGACAGTCTCTGCCTTAAGAAAATAATATTTTGGACCAGCACTCATTCTAGAAGTTGGTTTAATTGAGAATATTAATAGTTCTTTCATTTCATTCCTATACTGATACTTTAGGAAATAATAGTATCATAAGAAAAGTTATTCTTATATTGCTACTTAAATTAATTTGTCCATATGTACTAGAGAAAAATGACTTTCATAAGTTCTCTAACATAAAATAGAACCATATTAGAAAGATTTGTAATGTTTTTTAATTGTGATGCTCAGTTCCAAATGTGTTTCTCAAAAGTACCTGCAGATGGCACTAGTGCATTCCCACCCAACCTGATCAGCTTTTTAAATTCTTTTTTGTTTGTTTTAATGAATGGTGATTTTATAAGAATATATTAAATAAGACTAAGTTAATATAAGAAGAGATAAAAATTTTCAAACGTTCTGCTTTTTGTGTAGTGAGACTTGTAACATAGATTTGAATACTGGAATTTCCCCATCACTACTACTGTATTTATTATTTTCCTTCTTCAGATGCTATTACTTCATCTCCTGACAAATCGATCTCCCACTCTGGTTGACATTAGTTTTCTGAGCTAGTCTAGTCCTTTTAAGAAATATTTAAAGAATGTATTTTCTCTCCCCGTTTCTCGGATAACTCCCCACATCCTACCCTCTAAAGTTAGGCATGCTTTTTCCTTTAATATTGGAAACCTATCAAGCCAAATTTGCTAAACCATTGAGTTGAGGTTGAGGACAGCTTCAGGTACTTATTATGTTTGAAAGAAAACTTAAAGAGCCTAACTTTAAAGGAAAAAGGAAAGCTCTGAATGTGTGGGAAAACCTTAATACTAAATAAATAAAAAAATAATATCTACAAACTGACACGGTGGTGTTGTAAGTAAATCTTGTGTTTGATTTTTCCACAGAGGAGAATTGCTTTTAAAAATGAATAAGCCTCTTAAAGCAAAAGAAGCATATCTTAAAGCACTAGAGCTGAATAGAAGTAATGCAGATCTTTGGTACAACTTGGCGATTGTTCATATTGAACTTAAAGAACCAAATGAAGCCCTAAAAAACTTTAATCATGCTTTAGAACTAAATCCAAAGTATAAGCTAGCATTATTTAATTCTGCTATATTAATGCAAGAATCAGGTATGTTTTCTCAAAAATTTCTATATTTAAACATATTGTAGTTTGAAATGCAATAAAAGTTTATACTACATGTAGCAAGTCTTTTATGAGTGGACAGTTTATATCAAATGCATAAATGATTTATATGAAAATATTTAAAATCCTTGGAGTAAACTTTTCAAGTAGGGTGCACTAACATATATAACATTATTAATTCTTAGTTCTTCTGATAATATGTTAAGGCTGATTTGTCAGGCAGTCTGTTAAGTAAGCAATGCCTTTCTAATCTATTTTGGGATTTTACACATGGAAATATATAATCTCTTAAATATAAATAGTATGCTGGCCAAGTAATCTGAACTTGTAAAATTATTTTACATAATTATTCCTAGGGAGCCAAGAATATTATATGTTTTAGAAAAGTTTGTGTTTTGTATTCTCTTGATTTATAAGACCAAATAATTTGGTACCATTTTATATCCAGTTTACTATTTTCTGAGATATTATTTTAATTTCCTATAATGTAGCAAAAGTAATTTATTCTTCACAATAAATCAAGATATTTGATATATAGGAATTTTAGTACTACTTCAGAAAGCAGTGTGTATAATTTATAATCTTAATTTTTATGTTTGGAAAAATCTCCATATTTACATTTTTAAATTAATTCTTTAAATTATATTATTTTAGAGCTAAAGAGGACCTTTGAATTTACTTTTGCCCATCTTCTGTTTAGTAGATTGTAGAGTAAGGACCAGATTGATCTAAAATCCAGCATAACGTCATATGGCTAATTTACTAACTAGTCCAAGATAAGAACTTAAGCCTACTGATTTATTCTGAAATTTTCTTCATTCATTATATTGTCAAATTAAAGAATAGAGGGAGATGTTCATGCCTGGTATTCAAAAAAAGAAATTTAGAGAGAAACTAATATTTTTGTAAGGTTAGCTAATGCTAATCATGAAATTGTCCAACACAAGATTGCTCCATAAGGGATGTAATTGTAGAACTTAAATGTCTTTGTATTTATTTGTAATAGAACTGTTTCATGACTATTTGTTTCCTAAATCTTAATTTATATTTACATTGTAAGCTTTATGTTGAATGGTTTATTTGTACCTTTAAAAGTCCTAAAAAATTGAAGTAATGTACAAAAAAGTCTGATTTTGTAAGACTGAAACATTTTGTTTATACAATAGTTACTATTAGAGCCTTTTTATATGTCTCATGTAATACTTAGAAAAATCAGTAGGATAACCTAGAGAAGTTAAATAACTTGTTCAGTGCATAAAGTCAAGATTGAATACATCTTTGTTGGCAAATCCCTTGCCTCTTCCTCTTGATTGTCTTTTCTTCTGCTGCTGCTCTCAGATTCTATACCATAAGGAGATGCTTCTCTTTTGGTGTTTGAGCAATTCTTACTGCTTTAAAGGAAAGGAAATGAGCTATCATCTCAGTGTTTCAGACATTATCTTTCTCATGAAAAACTTCATGGTTTTTGCTTTGTGCTTTTGGATTTAGATACAGCAGTTAGTTGTTCTGATGCTGTCTCTGTAAACTAGATAAACACAGATAAAGTGGCTTTGTTCCTCAGACTTAGTTCACTTGCTAACAATACAAATTTTTTTTTCTTTTTGAAAAAACTATTTTTAGGTGAGGTTAAACTCAGACCTGAAGCTAGGAAACGACTTCTAAGCTATATAAATGAAGAGCCACAAGATGCTAATTGTTATTTCAACTTGGGAATGCTTGCCATGGATGACAAAAAGGACACTGAAGCAGAGATGTGGATGAAGAAAGCCATAAATTGCAAGCCGACTTCAGAAGTGCTTTGTTTAATCTGGCTCTCCTGTATTCTCAGACTACAAAAGAATTAATGGCTTTGCCAGTTTTGGAAGAGTTACTCAGATACTATCCTGATCATATTAAGGGTCTCATTTTAAAAGACATTCTGATGAATCAAAAGAAAGATATTCTTGAAGCAAAAAAATGTTTTGAAAAGATTTTGGAGATGGATCCAAGCAATATGCAGGGAAAACACAATCTTTGTGTTGTTTATTTTGAAGAGAAGGACTTATTAAAAGCTGAAAGATGCCTGGTTGAAACACTGGCATTAGCACCACATGAAGAATATATTCAGCGCCATTTGAATATAGTCAGGGATAAAATTTCCTCATGTAGTTTTGTAGAACAGCCAATATTGCCAGCTGGTAAGACTTCAGGTGTAGAAGGAGAAAAAATTCCAACTGAAAATGGAGACGATACCAGAAGTGAACCTGCACAGATAATAAAAACAAGTGATAAAAGTCAGTCTCAATCCAACAAACAATTAGGAAAAAATACAAAGAGATCACTCACAAAACAGCTGAAGGGTCCCCACCAGTAAGATGGCAAACTTCCGGCTTCTCTTCGGGGTCCTCAGTTCCCGCCGGCGCCACCTGAAGCCCAATCACCTCTCACCCCCCTCCCAATCCCAGCACCTAGCCAACAGCCACCAGCCCCGTAGAAGTGACACCTCAATCAATTCATGCCCCCTCCTATATAACCCAGCACCTTTCCCTAATAAAGCGGAACTCTCCGGTGAATTGCTGCTATGTGTCGCTCCTTTCCTTTCA